TGGAGTGGCACACATCTGTAATCCCAGTGGCTAAGAAGGCTGAGGCAGGAGGATCCCAAGTTCAAAGCCAGCCTCAGTAATCGGCCAGGCCCTAAAGCAACTTAGCAAGACCTGTCTCGAAATAAAATATAAGAAGGGCTGGGGATGTGGCTCGGTAGTTAAGCACCCCTAGGTTCAATCCTTGATACCAAAAAAGAAAAAAAAATTGCTTGTTTGCATGACTTTGGAGTCTGGCAAGAAAGCATAAGAGGCTATTTAAAAAGGAAGACTCTTTTGATATGTTGGGGGGAAAAGGAAGAGAAAAAAGAAACCCTCCTGAACACCTGTGTGGTGGCCCATATCCACAGTCTTGTTCTGGATGGGTTTTTTTATCCTTTTTTTTTTTTTTTGGGGGGGGGGGTTTGCAGGGGATTGCACTCAGGGGCACTCAACCACTGAGCCACATCCCCAGACCTATTTTGTATTTTATTTAGAGACAGGGCCTCACTGAGTTGCTTAGCACCTTGCTTTTGCTGAGGCTGGCTTTTTAACTTGGGATCCTCAAGCCTCAGCCTCCCAAGCTGCTGGGATTGCAGGTGTGTGCCACCACGCCTGGCTTTATTTATCCTTCTTCCCAGCAGCTCAGTCTCGCCCAGTGCCTGGCACACAATGGCTACATCATAAATGCTCATTGATTAATTCCCACGTCCTGTGAAACATGATACCCTTAGATGTGAAACCTGCTACACTATAAGATTCTGGACAAGTTGCATCATCTTTTCCTTTTATTTTCCTTATTCATGGGGTGGTCCTTGAGAGTAAATTAAGAGTGTCTATGAAGTACTTTTTAAAGAGCCGGGTGCATGGTGAGCTCTCAGATCCTTCCTGTTTATGATCACTGTAAACCAGAGGCTGATGGCTGAGGGCTGCCTGCCACTCCTTCCTTTCAACTCAACTCTCTCTTTTTTTTTTTTTTTAAAGTGGGTAGAAGAGGGGACTCCAAAAGGAGAAGTCCAGATGGGTGAAATAATGCCTTACTTTAGTAGTGAAGGTGACATCCAGTCAGCCAGGCAACGACACCAGAGAAGACCGTGTGTGCCACAGCCTGTTCTAGAGGAAACAGAAAATAGAATTTCCCAGCAGATCAGAGTCCAGCTGAACCAATTTACCAAGCTCACTTACAGAGCAGCAATTCAACAGCATCCCTTTGTAGGCCCAAGAGGGAAGACGAAGGTAGACCAGGGCGCAGGCTTCTGCAGCCAAGGACCTGGTTATCCCCAGGCCATGCCTCTTGTTGTGTCACTGTGCCACTTTAACTTCTTTGGGCGTTGGTTTCCTTATCATAATACATAAGGTCACTGTAAAGAGTACCTGAAATAATGCAGGTGAAGTACCTGGCAAGGAGCCTTGCTCTGTGAGTGCTCAATAAATGCTAGCGGCAGAGTTGCTTGCTCTCTATACATATATATCCTGCCTAAGATTTCTCCCTCATTGGAGCCTCACCAAACCTTGTTCTGCACATGAGGAAAGAAGGCAAAGGTAAGTTAACCGGCTTGATGGGAAACTGGCCAAGCCAGATAGCAAAACCAGCCTGTGCCCTCTCGTAAAAATCAGGATAATCCACCCACAATGACCAGCACCAGGGAGATGTGCTGTCTATGCTAACTTCCCCAGTGGGGCCTCTGCCATGTGGAAAAAGAGGGGAAATTTTGACAAGAGGCTGGGAAAGCAGGCCACCCAAAATCTGGTGGAGCAACTGCTGGAGTAAGGGTTCAAGATGGTTCTGAAGGCGGCAGGAAGGAGCAAACACAAGGTCCCAGGCAGCAATGGTGCTGGGCACTTGGGCCTGGGCCTCAAAGTTCAACCACAAAAGGAGCCGGGGGAGGAAGCACCTGACAGCTCTGGAGGATTTCTAAAGGTGCTTTACCCGCCTCTTTCTCATGCAATTGAAAGCACACACACAATCTGCAGCATAAGAAAAACAAACCCCAACCCAGACTGCATACTCCAACAAGCCTGCTACCTCCTGCTCCTACCCCAGGAATTCCTTACCAGGGAGTCTTTTATGATTACAAGGCAAATTCAGAACCAGTAAAAGCACAGAACCTTAGGTGGAAAAGGCCCAAGCAACCAGATGGGAAAGAAGATTTCTAAGTTTTCATTTTTGCTTAGACCAAATTTCCTGAGGCTTGAGGCATTGCCCCAAGTCACAGATGAGAAACTGGAACAAGTTAGACTCTGCAGAATAAAACTGATCCTGGCAGATGCTTCCCACTGGTCCGTTTTCATTTCTTGGATTTTCCTGTGAAGGGAGGGGACTCACCCAGTTGGGATTGATCAGTTTGTTTGGCTGAAACTGGGGACAGATCAAGAACTTATCCACAGGGCTGGGGATGTGGCTCAGTGGTAGAGCACTCATCCAGCATGCACAAGGCCCAGAGTCAATCCACAGCACCGCAAGAAAAAAACAAATAAATAAACTTATCTGCAGCATACATAGTGGCACATGTCTGAATCCAACGACTTGAGAGGCTGAGGAAGGAGGATCATAGCTTGAAGTCAGCTTCAACAACTTAGAGAAATCCTAAGCAACTTAGGAGACTCTACTCAAAATAAAAAATAAAAAAGGGCTGGGGATGTAGCTCATGGTAAGAGTACCCCTGGGTTCAATCCCCAAGTACCAAAAGAGAAAAGAAAAAGAACTCATCTATAATCATCTCCAAATCAGACTGTCCTGATGCCCAAACCCTTTCTAAAAGCACTACCCACTTTTGTGGGGACAACCGTTAAAGGAGTTAACAGGACCTCAAAAGAAGAGGCCTTCTGTTTGTTCAAACACCTTAAGGAAGCCATCCAGCCTCCAAAGCTACCACCACCAGCTGCACCCGGCTGCCTAGCCCCTGGACCCCCCTTCCCTTCTCCTTGTGTTTTGAAGTTTATTTTCCCACATCTAGCCTTGAATTCTTTCCTTCCTTCCCCTGCAGGGGCAGAGGAGCAGAGTAGGGGAAACACTTCGAGGGCAGCTCAAGGCTTTATCTTCCCTGCCTGCCTGCCTGCCTCCCCCTCTAAACAAAGCCCTGGAGCAAACCAAACAAAAACTCTCCTTCTCCAGTGGAATTATTTCCTCAAGGGAAATCATAAAGCGACCCCCTTCCCACAACACACAGAGATACAGCAGACACTCATTAGAAGGAGCCCATCATGTCCCAGAACGCAGGCTAAGATGAACAAAATCAACCAGTACCTTCCCCTCTTCTTTTTTTTTTTTTTAATATTTATTTTTTAGTTATCGGCGGACACAACATCTTTGTTTTGTATGTGGTGCTGAGGATCGAACTCGGGCCGCACGCATGCCAAGTGAGCGCGCTACCACTTGAACCACATCCCCAGCCCCTTCCCCTCTTCTTTTTCATTCCATTTTATATTTTTGCATTGGGGATTTAACCTAGGAGCTTTATCACTGAGTTACAAGCCCAGCACTTATAATTTTCTTTCTTTTCCTTTTTTTTTTTTTTTTTGGGTTGAACACAGTGTGCTTAACCACTGAGCCACATCCCCAACCATTTTTATATTTTATTTTGAGACAGAGTCTCACTAAATTGCTTAGGGCCTGGCTAAGTTGCTGAGGCTGGCTTTGAACTTGTGATCCTCCTGCTTCAGTCTGCCAGTAGCTGGTACTAAAGGCATCACCCTGACCAACCAGTACCTTCTGAAATTCATCCCCAACATCACTTCCTCCTACCTCCACCCCAGAAATTGCTCAAGGGCAGGAAACTTTCCACTGAAATGCAACATTGCCCTGCTAGCCCAAACCTTCCCTTCTGAGGACATTTTTCTAGCAGCCCAGTTGCCAGAGGGAACCTCTGCTCATTGGTGCAAATGTCCATCAAATCTGGGGATAAGAAGAGGATACTGCTAGCAAGATGTCATGTTTTCTGAAGACTTTCAACATGCCAACAGTTTAGTGCAAGAAAGAGGTATGTGGATGGGTTCATTTCTGTTTCACATACTAAGGAAGCGGGCTGGAAATGAGGGACACTGGGCATGCTTCAGGTATTGGGGAGCTGCTGTACATTAAAAGTTCCTCATGAGAGTTCCTTTCTGGCATCCTTCATCTCAGGAGAAATGCAACACCTTGGATTATCTACCACCCTGGTCCTTGTCCTACTGAGGCGAGGCCATTATTGCAGGTCAAATATAGTAGATGGTTGCCGCTGAGCCCTCAATAAACAGTTCTCAAATTGGCCCAAGGTCCCAGTTAGGATGCTCAGCCCCAGTTTACCCAAGTGAGGTCAAAGCCATCCACTGGGCGTGTGCACCAGAAGATAAGACGTCCCCAATGCCAAGCCGGAGGAAACTGCCCTCACTCCTTCCTCCGGGAAAAGGGACTCTCCGAGTTTGGTTGTTTGGGCAACCTGCTCCTTTCACAGAGTTTAACTCCAAGCCCTTAAGGGCTGTCTCCCGGTGATAAGCTTTCCCGGAAGCCTGAAGGCGTCCCCGGCATTCCAGCCACCTGCCCTTCTCCAGCGGGCTCCACCCGCCAGGGTCCCCTGCAGAGCCTTTGCAGGACTCGCGCCGGGGACCTTCCCGCAACTCCGCGGAGTTCCCGTTCTGTGCAAAGCCGGGCGGGCGCGGCTCTGGCCCTGAAGCCGGGAAGGTGGAGACGCGAAGGGTGGCGCTAGGCTCGGCTCCCAGACTCCGGGAGCGTCTCCAAGGAAAGATAAACGCCTTTATCCGCCCCACAGCCTCCCTCCAAAAAGGGAGGCACCCGTACACCCACACCGAGACACCGGGCCCAGTTCACCCAGCAGGCAACCCCGAGTTCTTTCGGAGCAAACTAGGTTTCCACGAATCTCCGTGTCCCCGGGGGGAGCGACAGGTAGTCGCGTCCTGAACCACGAAGAGGCAGACAGCCTCACCTGTCACCCCAGGACCTCCCACGGACCCGTGGGGGTCTTCCCTTCAGCACCCCTAGGGCCCCGTCGACCTCAGGTGTGTTGGGGGCGCAGGGGGCGGCTTACCTGCAGGATCTTGTCCAAGCCTTCCTGGCCCAGGCACGGGAACTCCTTGAGCAGATGCAGCTTCTGTGTAGTGTAGTTCTTCTTGGCCTCTTTCCAGTGCGGCTCCTCGAGCACTTCGAAGATCGCCGCCCCGATGGCCAGGTAGAAGATGATGGCCGAAGTGAGCAGTGGGCCCCGGTCCACCATGGCTCCCTAGCGGCCGCCTAGACGCGAAACTTTCCCCCAGCCCCAGCGGCTCTGGGTCAGCCGGCCCTGCAGCCTCTGGAAACAGCTGTTTGAATTTGGAGCTCCGCATGCGCAGTACCCAGTCCCCCCAAGCGCCGCTCCCGGGACAAAGTTGCTCGGCCAAGTTGGCCCTCTGAGCGCGGGGAACTGATGCGGCCCCGCTCACGTGGGCCGGGTGGGCCAACACCAATGGGATCCAAGGCGCCCTGAACCTCCGGGCGTGAGGAGCAGAGGGAACTCAGGAGCCGACTCCTCCGGGGAGACACGTGTGCGGCTCCGACGCGCGCCACTGCAGTGTGAGCCGCGCCCGCCTCCGCTCGCCTCTTTAACCCGCCCGCGCGGGAGTCTGGCAGGGGAGGGCCCCAGAGCCGAGTCCGTCCAGAGGAGGCCCCGCCCCCTCCCAGGCCCCGCCCCTCCCGCTCCGCGCAGACTCCGCCCCTCTCGCCCCGCGCAGGCCCCGCGGCTGGCGAGGGTGTAACCGCGAGGTGCGCGCTGAAGTAACTACCGCGCTCCCTGAGCTCCCGGGGCGGCTGCCAGGGAAGGCTGTGCCCAGACCTCCGTGCCCTGCAGTGCCCGAGGGGTTGCGGTCTGTGGGACTCGCCTTGGTTATTAGTGGTGGTGTGTTAACTAAACTGATTGTGCACCTTACAACTGAGGTCAGGAATTTATGGCTATTGTTATTTTTCTTGTAATTGAGTTTTTGTTTACTGATATTTCTTCCAAGGAAGTTTTATTGTCGGTCTCTTCTAATCTCTCACTCACTTTGCTATAAAAAAAAAAAAAAAACTGGGGAAAGGGAGCTAGAAAGGGGCTGAAGAAGCTGTAAGGAATCTGAGGATCTCCGGGAACTACTCCAAACACAAGTGAATGAGAGAGGATCCTGGGGTGTCACCCGGTTCTCACTAGCCTGGCTGAGATCCTCCACATTTGGAAGGTGCTGTCAGGAGACCACCACACTCATAATGGAAAACTTGACCTCTTTAATACTCCCAACCTATTTAAATTTGCAAGGTGTGCCCCCTCCCCCCCCCCCAAAGAAAAGATCAGCTGGAGAGGTGTGGGGTCTGATTTATTCAATGAGGTTTCCGCAACAACTCTTACATAGTAGACACTCAATAAACATGTACAATGAAGGAGTGAATGGATTTGCCAAAAACGCACACACAGGTTATTTCTCACTCACCTTGCTACATTTTTCTTCCAATAAACCCCAGTACTACTTCTTTCCCATGCATCATAGTCTGGGCCTGTCATTAAACCCACTTTCTAGGGAGGAACTGAAAATGGGGAAAGTTAGTTTGTTCAGTCTCTCCACTGAACAAGTTGGAGGGGCACACTCATTACATTGTTGTGTAACCACAGGCTGGCTCAGACTCTCTTGAGCCTCTGTAGAGGCAGGGATCCCAGAGATTGGAGTCCCAACAGGTCAGAAGGCCAAGGCAGGAGGATGGCAAGTTTGAGACCAGCCTGGACAACTTAGCAAGACCCTGTCTCAAAAAATAAAAAGGACTGTGGATGAAGCTTAGTGGTAGAGTGCTCCTGGGTTCAATACCCAATGCTAGTGGGGGAAAAAGTTTCTATCTTTTATGGATCCATGGGCATGCCTTGAGGCAGAGGAGGCCGGAGCAGGAACAGGGAAGACCAGGTTTCAGGATTCTGTGTGGCTGAACCTGTTATATCTGTCCCCTTAGACGGTTCCCTAGTCAAGGCTCACCCTGGACAAAGACTTGGGGTGCTCTCTCTGGAGAAGATCCACTCTGCACCACCAGGTTCCCTCAGCCACCCTGAAAGATTCCCCTTCTCTACCCATCAGCCTCCTACGCACCCAGCACTCTAGCTGTGGTCTGAACCCCAACTCCTCAGTTTCACTCTTCAGTCATTAAATGGGTATGGAGATTGGAGACCAGGCCTCTGTCAAGGATCCTCCCTCTCTGGATGGAGCTCACCCCCTGTGTGACTCCAGCAGCCAGCACCGGGTGGGCTCCTTTGGAGGGACCACAAGCTGGGAAATTCTCTACTCCCCCCCTACCTCAGGGCTGTGTTCCCTTCTTAAGAAAATAAAGGTCCTCTTCCTATTTCCCTCCCAGGGCCTCACAAAAACACTGTAGAATCCTTTGGGATGAATTGATTTCTAGTCAAAACTTTTGTGATTTCTGGTTTCTCTCCCCTTCTACTGGGAGCCTCCATTTCCACGTCCTTTCTCTTTCTTGCTCTTTCCACATCCTGTTCTCTCTCTATATATATATCTTCTCCTACTTCTGCTAAATCCTTCAACTTCCCCTGTTTCCCCAAACTCCTCTTCCTAGATCTCTGGGCTTGCCTCTCTGCCTCGACTTTGTCTCTTTCCTAGCTGAAAGTGCTTGTCCTTTTCTTGTCCACTACAACACATAGGGCACAAGCGACACCCATTCTCCTGCATGGCAGTCAGTACTGAAACCAATAGTTGTTTAAGCCACATGAGCTTCAAGAATGGGAAAGGGACCAGGTGTGGTGCCACGCACCTATAATCCCAGGATTTGGGAGGCTGAGGCAGGCGGATTGTAAATTCAAGGCCAGCCTCTGCAATTTAGCAAGGCTCTGAGCAATTTAGCAAGAAGACCCTATCTCAAAATAAAAAATAGAAAGGGCTGGGGATGTGGCTCAGCAATTAAGCTCCCTAGATTTAATTCCCGTTAAAAAGTGGGTGGGGGATGGAGTTTGGTATATGAAGGTGGGAGATATATTTCCTTCATGACTAACAGACAAATCTATTCCAATAGCTTATGTGTATTTCTTCTTATTATACTTATTCATCACGACGGAAAATCATTTCACAAGTTGTCACTCATCAGTTTTGAGAATGAAGTCGCTTTTGGTTTTTGGGTGGTATTGGGGATTGAACCCAGGGCAAGTAGGGTAGCACTCCAGTCTTTGTACCACCTTGACACCAACGGATAATTAGATTTACGTGGGTCCTACCTGGAGAAACTGGCAGAGGGGAACAGTTGTTTTGCCTAAGGTCATGCACAAGCCCTGGCCAAAGGGTCCACACCCAGTTTTGTTTCTTCCTTATTTCAATTGGGTGAAGAGACTATCCTCTTAGTAAAATAAACACTTGCTAATCCTCTCATAATGCTAAATACTTACTGTTCCACACGTGCTCCTGTACTCAAGAGGGGTTACACAGGGATAAACCCATTGGCATGATCCTACTGTAGTTTTAAAATATCTGAAATTTTAAAACGGATTTTTTTTTTTTTTTAGTTGCTTAGGGCCTCACTAAGTTGCTCAGGTGGGCTTTGAACTTGCAATCCTCCTGCCTCAACCAAGAGCCGCTGGGATTATAAGCTTGCTACAGCACCGAGCCAACACGTTATAACTGAGCACCACAATCCTGTACACTGTAGAGTCTCAGTAGTTTATCCTCATGGTCCCATGGCTGCCTGGAAGCTATGGTCAATGCCTATCACTAGCTTGGGGAAGAATCCACATTCAAAATCTGAAGCGAACACAATGGCACATGCCTATAATCCCAGTTACTCCAGAGGTTCAGGCAGGAGGGTCTCAAATTTGAGGCCAGCCTTGGCAACTTAGTGAGACCTTATCTCAAAACAAAAATTAAAAGGGCCAGGGGTGTAGTTCAGTGATAGAATACTCCTGAGTCCAATCCAGTACTGGAGGTGGGGGGGAATTCAAAACTTAAATTGTAGTCTCTACTGAATGCATGTGGCCTTTGTTCCACCATCAAAGTCAAAAACCGTTGTAAGTCAGGTACCACTTATTTCTGTTTATATTTGTTCCCCTCTGAAAAATCACATCTGGTCAAAGGAGGTATATATAGCTTTTTATACAAAAAAACATAAAGTGGTTCAATATTACAAGCACTTGAAAACCTATTTCCTTGTTTTAAAAAAAAAAAAAAAAGCTCTCCAGCTCTCAACTCAAAAGGTCAATAAGTTCTATTTTTGTTTTTGTTTTTGTCATATTGCAACAGTATTAAATGCTTTACAAAAAGCTTGCATTATACAGAATTATCAGTTATTTTATCAGCTTCTTCTATTTTTAATAGATGATTTTGAAATCTGGGGAAAATCTCTGTTAAATTTTCACGTCCACAAACCTCCACTTATTCAATTAGAAAGACTTTTGAGTGGTAAATTCAGCATACATGGTAAGGCAACTTCTTGTTTTACCTTTATTTTGTATTTGTTTATTTTTATGTGGTGCCAGGGATGAAACCCAGTGCCTCACGCATGCTAGGCAATCGCTCTACCACTGAGCCACAAACCCAGCCCCTTGTTTTATATTAGGAAAAAAAAAATCACAGAACAAAATAAAATCAAAGAGCAGTAAAGTTGCTATATTTTATATATTTTTAAAAAGTAGTGAATATTACTCAGCCTTCAAAAAGAAGGAAATTCTGATGCTTTCCTAAACATTTATAAACCTCATGAACTGTATGCTAAATGAAATAAGCCAGTTGGTAAAAAAGAAATATTGCATTATTTTACTTCTATAAGTCATCTAAAGTCAAACTCTTAGAAACAGAAAATAGAGTGAGGTTGCTTGCCAGGGACTAGTGGGAAAGGGAAATCAAGTTGTTGCATAAGAGTTGAAAATGGGTATAAAGTTTCAGTTTTGCAAGCTGAAAAAGTTAAAGATTAGTTGCCTAGTGATTTGCATATAGATAGCATTACTGTACTGTACACTTACAAATGGTTAAGATGGGTTTTTGGTTTGTTTTTGTGGTGCTAGGGATCACATCTAGAACCTCCAACATGCTAAGCAAGCATTTTACTACTGAGCTGCATAGCCAAGATGGTAGATGGTAAATTATGATATGTTGGGTTTTTTGTTTGTTTTTGTTTTGAGTAGTTTTGATAGTAGGGATCGAACCTAGGAGCACAGCACTTTACCCAGTCCTTTTTATTTTATATTTTGAGACAGGGTCTTGGTGAGCCTGGCCTCAAACTGTGATCCTCCTGCCTCAGCCTCCTGAGTTTCTGGGATTACAGGCACGTGCTACCATGCCCAGCTATGCTTTGTATTTTTTATTACCATAAAAAAGAAAAAGAAAACTAGTGCCCTCAAGGCAATGTGGCAATGCATGCCTATAATCACAACTATTCAGGAGGTTGAGACAGGAGAATGTAAGTTCAAGACCAGTCTGG